ATTGACGAATCAAGTTTGATATGATAGGTTTCAACTACAAAATTAAATCATTTTACTTTGTAATTTAATAATTTTTTTACTCTATTTGTGTGTGCTACTACTAGACTATCATATTACAATTTTTTTTTGTAACATGTTGCTATATAAATCATTTCTAAAAAAAATGATTGTTTTTTCTCCTGAATTAACAATTGATTTTTACAAATATAATCAAATTGTATTATACGCTCAATTTTTTATATGTAAATACTCATTTTTTACTAGTTAGTAATAATATCAAAAATTAGAAGTGATAGAAAAAGTCTAATTTTAGATTTGAAAACGGCGCGAAAAGTTGATTTAAAAAAGTATATTTTTGATACTGATGAATGTTTCTTGTAGTCCAGTATATTTATTCATAAGTGACAAAAAATTCATTAATTTGTTAAAATTAAATATTATCTACAAATTTTTTTATATGCAAATACTATTTTTTAATAATATTAAAACATAGAAGTGATAGAAAAAGTCTAATTGCACATTTGAAAACATTGCGAAAAGTTGATTTTGAATAGTATATTTTTGTTTCTGATGAAAGTTCCTTGTAGTCCAGTGTATAAAACTTATAACTTTGTTAACTGTTATAACTTTAACAAAAATGACCAAATCAGTATAATTTTTTTTATTTAGATGCATGTCTTTTCTATCATTTGTTTTTTTTATAAATCTAACTCTTTACCTGCCCACAAGTGGGATTCAAAATTATAACTTTCTTTTTTTTTAGCTAAAGTAAATCATTAAAATTAATTCAGTTCTGGATATTTCAATTGTAGAATCTTTTTAAATACTAAAAATTACTTAGAAATGATTACTATGATTTCTATTTAGGTGTTCTATTACGATAAAAATACAAAAAAATAATGAGTTTTTCTGATAAATATACTGTAAATAGTAATTATAAAATTTCCTGACTGCATATTAGTCTTAAAAATAGCATAGTTTTAATTCTCATAAAATTTTCTATTTAATGATTCATTCTAGTCAACGAAGGATTAATTTTGGAGAATAGCAGAAAAAATTCTCAACCAATTTTTTTTTCTTTGTTTTAATTAGGCAATTGGTGGATTATTCTAAAAGCAACATCAACTCTTATTTCTTTAATTATATCCTGATTAGTAGTTCTTTGATTTTAAAATATAATATATGAATAAATACTAATTATAATTATTAAATTTAGTATGAAATTGATATTCAATAATTTAATATTGTAATTTAAACGGAGAAATTATAAAAATAATAAAGAAGTTGTATTTTGCTTTATTTTTACGTGTATAAAAATTTAAAGGGCTTAATACAATAATTTTCAATAAAAACTGTTTGTTACTATAAATGAATGCACTGTACTTCAAGGAACTTTCATCAGAAACAAAAATATACTTTTTTAAATCAAAGTTTCGCGTTGTTTTCAAATCTGCAATTAGACTTTATCTATCAGTTCTTTATTTTTTTTATATTATTACTAATTACATATAAAAATAATTAAAAGAAAAAAAGAATTGTTTTCAATTTATTACTGATTTGATTTTTAATATGTTAAAAATGATCAATCCAAATTTTCATTTTTAACCTATTTTTTTGGTTCTTTAAAATTTATGAACAATTTTTGATAAAGATTTATGAAAGTTTATAGCAAAAAAAATTGAATATATTACCATAACTTTTAGCTCAATTACAAATTTAAAATTGACATCTAGGCCAGTCAACAAAGGAAAAATTTCTTAAAAAATTCCCAACCAAATTTTGTTTTATTAATAGTTGAATTAAAATATGTATAATGACATACTAATAGTCTTCATTGATTGAAATTGAGCTTTTTTTTACAGCCTCGCAAAAGTTCAAAAATATGAGCTTTTTTAATTTTCTCAAAAAATATTTAACTTACAAAAAAAAGTTTCGTACAAAAGTTGTTTAAAAGACAATTATAAACAAAAAAATTATCTTATATTTTTTCATTTAAACAAACATTTTTCGAGTTACATTACATTTAATGTGAGTACTAAAATTTATATTCCATTTTTTTCATATTACGGTTGCTTTTTATAGATCATAGCTGGCCTCACAATTTCATACTGAATTTAAAAACTATAATTAGTTTTTATAATTAGTTAGTATTTATTCATATATTATATTTTAAAATCAAAGAACTGCTAATCAGGATATAATTAAAGAAATAAGAGTTGATGTTCCTTTTGGAATAATCCACCAATTTCTCTAAATGAAACACTATCTACAGATTTGCATCGAAGCGTTTCTTATGATAGTGATTTTAATCACTGTCAGATATCATCTATACTTATCTCATCTATGCCACGTCTATACTGTGCCTCGACCCCACTGTGCTACCGTTTGTTTTTTATTATAAACAAGATTAATAAAAAAAAAAACTGGGTTGCTATTTGAAAAACTAAAGTTGATATTGATTTAAGGGTTGAGGGATGAATATTGAATCTTCATTTTTCTTGTCAAGTAGCTCATCAAAGATTTATAACAAATAAAATAATTACATATACGATAATACTAATATTTTTAAAGAAAATTCGTGAGGCATAGTTAGTCAATCATCCTGTACTTAAACCGATGCATATACTGTTTGTGTTGTTACTATTATAATAATAAAATACCATAAAAACATTTCTTTCTGGTGTTTTTACTGGGGACGAAGTTATACCGCACGTGTCGTACTCACTCCCTACTATTAGATACGTCTTAATTCTTCAACTGTATATTGGATATGCGATACTGAGTATGGTACTTGAATTATCAAATAAATTGTATAAGTACATTGGAGATTAGACCTCAATAATATGATACATTTGATGGTATTTTAGTTGCCTATTTAAAAGTTCAAGGAGTAAGACATTATAAGTTACCTACAGATGGGATCTCGTTGTACTTGTCTTTTTTTCTTTTAACTTGATTTTTTTACATTTTGCACGAATATTAGAAAATTTACTATAATCACTCACCAAACCCGAACTCTTAAAAATTTTTAAATATATTTTTCTTAAAAATTAATTCTTTTAAATTTCTACTAAACCATGGAGGATGAGTAAAATGTTGTTTAATTATTTTAGGTACAAAAATCTCAAAAATTTCATAAATAATAGAGTAAAACAAATTGACAGTTTGATTTACACATAGGTCTTTAAATAGGTTATTCCAGTCGATCGATTACAAGATATGTTATAAGCGCTCCAGAAATTTTTCCAACACCTAGTGAACGTTTCCAAAATATACATATTGATTTGATTGGACCCCTCCCGCCTTGCAAAGATACCGTTATTGTTTGACATGTGTCGACAGATACACTAGATGGACGGAGGTATATCCAATACAAGATGTACTTGTAACATCAGAAACTATTGTAAAAGAATTTTTTTCCAACTGGATTGAACGTTTTGGAGTACCAATTAATTTGGTAATGGATCCAGGTACTTAACTAGAATCTACAGTTTTTAGTTATGTTACAAAGCTGCTTAGAATAAAAAGAATTAGGACGACAGCATTTCATCCTCAATCTAATGGACTTGTGGAACGATTTCGTAGACAGCTAAAATCTGCAATTATGTGTTATGAGTCAACAAATTGGGTTGAGAGTATATCCAGAATTTTATTAGGATTGCATTAGTCTGAAGGAAAATATCAAAGTTTCATCAGCTGAGTTAGTATACGGATGCACATTAAGATTACCTGGTAAATTTATTATACCCAGTAATGTTCATGAGAATACAACAACATATGCAGCTAAGCTTCGTCCAAGGTTAAGTGATCTAAAACCTGTACCGACATCAGCGCATGGTAAAAAAAATATTTTTGTTTTCAAAGTTTTGAAGGATTGTCCCTTTGTTTTTCTACGGAAAAGACTATGTAAAAAAATCTCTTGAAAAACCTTATAAATGACCTTTCAAAGTAATAGAAAGAGCAGAAAAAACTTTCACATTACAATTAATAAGAGGGGAGAAAAAAGTTTCAATAGACAGACTAAAGCCAGCTTACATAGAACTTCTAACTCAGCAGCCTATCACCCAGAAACAACCTTCTCAGTTACAAATATTTTCCCAAAAGGACCAAATAAGGAAAGAATTATCTGAAAATAAGAATCATCAGAAAACTACTAGTTTGAGTTGAGCTGTGCGGTTAAATGAGATTTAAAGACTGAAGAGATTTTACATTATATAGTTACTTATTATTTTTAATTTTTATATTTCTTTTACGTATATTTCTAATGAATACTAAAACCTAACGTTTTCACTGAAGGGGGAGTATGTAGCGTTGGTACCATGTTACCTACCTTCATCCTCGTGATTAACAACATTTAGAAAAAGGAGATTATGTTATCCTTTTGTTACACATATATATTGTTCTCATGACTTTTTTGATTTTTAAAATAAAAGCAGATATATATAATAAACATTTTGTGGTGTTCTTTAGTTTTAATAAAAATAAATAATATAAAGAGCCACAATAAAGGTGATTCCTAAATGCAATGAAATAAATGACGATAAACCTAGTTGCCAGTAGATATCTCATTCACATAAAAACATTTGATTTTGTGTTATTTACTTAGATCATATGGTTTAAATCAATAGTTATTTATGTAAGTATTTTGTATAAGTATTTGCATAAAGATTTTGACACAAATATTTAATGGAACAACTACAATTTGGACATAACGTATGTTAGAACAAATGTTACATGGATAAATTGTTAATTGAAAAAAATACTCATTTGAACAAGTACAAATTTTGGATAATAACATATCTTTGAAACTTATTTATTGAAACAAGAATTTTGTGGAACAAAAGGTAGTGATCCTATATTTTCATATAGTCTATGACTGTGGCAACAATTGCTTATACAAAAATATTTAACAATGGTTGGTCAACTTGTATTGGCTGTTGTTGATAAATCTAGGTTTAATAGCCTCAAAAAAATCTAAAAAGTTATTGATAAGACCCGGTTGCCATAACCCGTTAATTATTTGTAGAAGTCAAATTTTATTGCTTAAATGGAGAATATTTTGTTTTAATTCTGTACTGTCTATTTGTTATATATATTATATGGTGAAAGCAATAATTCTTGTTGTTAAACTGATGATAAAAATATAAAATAGTAAAATCTATTATTTTATTTATTAAAAATATGGAAAATATAACAAAAAATGTAAGAAAAATTTTAAATTATGAATTCATAATTTACAACTTGCATAATTTTACTTTTAGTCGAACCTTTTATTTAATCTTAACCTTTATATTGTTATTTAGATGTCTAATGCACACATCGGAAGTAATAAAGTAAACATATCTTCCGATTCATCTAATGATGATGAAAAAGAGCTACCAGCAGCTGAAAAATCATTATTACAAAAAATAGTGCGAACTGGGCTTATAACATCAAAACATGACATTGAAGTGCAAAGGCGTGATCCGAAGTCCCCATTATATTCAGTTAAATCTTTTGAACTTCTTAAGTTGTATGTTTTTATAATTTTTTAGATAATTATTTTTAATATTTATCTTAATTTAAAATTCAGTTATGAGACATACAAGTATTTAAAATTTAAAAAAAAAATTAGTTTTTCAATTTTTAGAAAAAAAAAAATCAACTTACAAAAATTTCTAAAAATAAAAATTAGTAGCAAGTTTTAATCTCAAAAATGTTTATCAATCGCTAACTCATGAAATAATTTTTGGAGGTGATACTACTTCTTTTATTAAAACTAAAATTCTAAAATGGGTTCTTTTTGTATCTATAATAATATAAATTTTAAAATTCTGTAAATTATTTTATTAATAAAATCAGTGTTAATTTAATTGTTAGACATCCAAATCTATTAAAAGGTGTTTATGAAATGGGATACAATGCACCATCTAAAATTCAAGAAACAGCATTACCTTTGTTACTTGCTAACCCGTAAGTATTTTTAGTTTTCTCATAAAGAAAATATTGATTAGAAAATGGATGAACCAATCAAGACATAATTTACATAACATATATACAGGGTTATTATTTTAACGCTAGTTAAAAATTTTAGTGAGAGTTTTAGTAACCATATAATTACTATAACTCCCAATTGTTGGCTAGCGTTAAAAGAATCACTATGTATATACAGTATCTCAGACCTAATTGACAATGTTTATAATTTTTGATATAATAATTTTTTGTTAAATATTTTTTTTTAAATAATTATTGCTCTCTTAGACTACGTTTAAAGCAATATTTTTTAAGACATTGAGGAGTACTTAATATTTAACATTTTTTTTCTAACAAAAAATTTTTTTTGTAGAAAATAGGCTACATGAGACTGTTTTGAGATTTTTTATATTAATTTCATAATTATAAGTTTGGTTGTGTAATCCTTAATTTAATAAAAAATCTATAGAAGTAAGCATTCAGAATAAGAGTAGTATTTAAATTTTTGTTTATCTCAAAAAATATGATATTTGTGGAAAATGTCTAGGAAAGCAATTTTAGATTTAAATATTTTCTTTAAGAAAGTTAAGTCAGATATTTAAATAATAAAACAAAATATTTAAGTTATTTAGTTGATAATTTGTATGCTTTTCACAGAATTTGTAATAAGTGGTATTTTTTGTTTTGTTATTGATTAGGTGACAAATTTTAGTCCATATCAGGCGTGACCCATCAGTTGAGCGTGCTTTAAAAGCTTTGCTCAACACATATTAAATATAAAATAGAATTCAATAAAACTTTCAAATAATAATTTACATTTATAATTTTTTCTGATTGAATATTTTAGCTCAGCCAATTTTGTTTTATTAAATAATTATAAATAACACAACAATTTTTTTATGGTACCAAATGATCTAACAAATAAATTAAAATATCCAACAAATTTTTGATAAGAATTGCAAGATTTTATGTACTGAAATGCAGTTCATTGGATACTTATTAGATTATGATATGGCTCGTTTAAATTTATAGACCTACGCAGGTCAAGCTCAAAATTCATTTTTTTTTTTTAGGTATACTTCAATCCTATTTAATAGGGTTCGTCAATAATATTTTTTTGGATGTTGATATCATACCAAATTTCAGCAATAATTATATCATAAAATATTGAAAAAAACTATATTCAAAAATTAAATTTAATATTTAAATGTTTTCATCTATTTTTTTATTTTCATGAATACTGTTAACATAGCTTGTAATACTGTTATGAAAATTAGAATATGGTATTCCAACCAAATGATAGATCATCTTCTTCATCACTTTTATCAGATAAGAAATTGATTTTTTTTTCTTTGAGCTCAATAATTTCACGTTATTTTTGAAATTGAGTTTCAACCAATTTTTACTGTATATTTACTAATCCTGAAATTTCTATCTCTAAATCTTCTCATACTTTATTTTGTTCATGTTTTGTTAAAAATGGGATTAACATAAATATCATAATATAAAACCTAATCTAAGATTAAAATTTTGTATCAATAAATATAATTTTTCGTTTTATCTCATTTCTATATTTCATAATATATTTTAATACAAAAAATATTAACAAGATTATTACTAACTGTTTTTAGCCTGATATTTATCAAATAATATGTTTTATAACTAAGTGACTAGTTGTATGATAGGCTAGGAACAAAAGAAGGCGAGAAAGTAATCTATAGTATTGCAAAAGTAAGAGAAACAAAGGTCTAAAGATTATCACTATATAAGAAGTATAAACAGTGTTGACAATAGGGTACTCTTGAGTGATGATGATGTGAAAAAAAGGTGGAGAGTATTTTGAAAAATTATTGAATGAGGATTACCCAAAAAAGACATTAGAGGATATCTCGTGGAATGAGGGACTGGTATATTTTATTAGTGAGAAAAAGGTATGGGAGGCTGTGGCATCAATGAAAAAGAATAAAGCAGTAAGACCAGATGAAGTGCCAGTAAAAGTATAGAAAATATTAGGCTGTGTTCGCATAAGGTGGTTGAAAGAACTTTTAAATAAAATTTTATTAGAAGAGAAAATACCACATGAATGGAGGAATAGTATTGTGGTGCCGATATTTAAAGGTAAAGGACACAAACAGAAGTGTGGAAATTTTTGAGGTATAAAGTTTATGAGTCATAGTATGAAAATTTGAAAAAAGGTTATAGATAAGAGAATAAAAAATGAGACATTGGTGTCTAAAAACCAGTTTGGATTTATGCCTGGCAAGTCAACAATGGAGCCAGTATTTTGTGTGAGGCAACTAATAGAAAAGTTTATGGAAAAGAAGAAAAAGCTATGTATGGTATTTATAGTTTTGGAGAAAGCGTATGACAGAGTACTGAGAGAGGTTTTAAAGTGGGCATTAATGAGAAAAGTAGTCTCGAAAAGGTACATTAATATAATAGAAGACATGTATGTTGGCACTTGTACCATGGTAAAAAGCATAGGAAGAGTATAAGTTTTAAGTATTTAGGGTCAGTTATGTAAAAGAGCGGTGTTATTACAAGGATGTAAAACACAGAATTAAGTGTGGGTGGTTGAAGTGGAGAGAAGAGTCTGGCGTCTTATGTGATAGAAAAATTCCAATGAGGCTGAAAGGTAAATTCTACAAGACTGTAATAAGGCCAGCTATGATGTATGGTTCAGAGTGTTGGGCGGTTGATAAAAAGGTAGAGCAGAGAATGAGTGTATTAGAGATGAGAATGCTTTGATGGATGAGTGGAGTTACTAGAAAAGATAGAATAAGGAACGAGCATATAAGAGGGAGTATAAGTGTAGCGTCCATCATAGATAAGATGAGTGAAAATGGACTTAGATGGTTTTGGTCATGTTATGAGGAGAGAAGAATCGGAAGCTATAAGAACATTTATAGAATTGAATGTTGAAGGAAGAAGAGGTAGAAGAAGACCAAAAAAGAGATGGAGAGATGCTATTTAATGCAATTTGAGGACAGCTGATGTGAGCGTAGATGACGTGGGAGATTGTGTCGAGTGGAAATTTAGAATATGGGTGGCCGACCCCAAGTAGTTAGGATTGAGGCGAGGAAGAAGAAGAAGAAGACCTAAGAAATTAAATATTTTTTCGATTATCACGATATTTCAAAACTAATTTTTGATGGTTAATCATTTATAGAAGCAAGTTGGTGTTGCACATTTTTGTATAAATTTCTTTTATTTTAATTTATGTAACAAAATGTTTTAGTTAATAAGATATCTTTCTCCATATTTTAATTCCTAATTTAATAAGGTAACACGTTTTTGTTATAATTAAAAAAAAGGCCTAAAAATTATAATAGATTTTGTGTATTAATTTGCACTTGTAATTTTTTTAAATTAGCATAGGAGTTAACGACCTCGTTTTGCATATATAAATATATTGTAAGATTATAAAAAGCTTAGCCTATAAAAATAGGCTATTATAAACAATTATTATACATTAAATAACAAGAAAATTTATAAAAATTAATCCAAGCAAAAATAAATATTCCTGGTGGTTCTTTATAAAATAGTGTTTAAAAAAGTTAAATTTTGCTTTATAATCTAAAATATTTTTGCGAAACTATTAATTGTTCAAAAATATTATTGTAGGTATATGTATAATATTATATGTCTCTTAAATTTACATAAATTTTTATCATTTTATTAAATTTTCAATAGTCCTCAAAATTTAATTGCTCAATCACAATCAGGAACTGGAAAAACAGCTGCATTTGTACTGGCTATGTTGAGTAGAGTTGATCCTGATATGCAATATCCACAGGTTATATTTATTTTATATTATCTATTTGTATGTGAAAATCTGTATTAAAAAATTGATAAAATTATATTTTTTGCTTAAAAATTAAATATTTATTCATTATTTAGGTTTTATGTTTATCCCCTACTTATGAGTTGGCTATACAAACTGGTGAAGTTGCAGCAAAAATGTCAACTTATTGTCCTAATATTAAACTTCGATATGCAGTCCGGGGAGAAGATGGTAAATATAATTAAAATAGTTTTGTCTTCGATGTGAAACTGGGAACGTTGTAATTTAAAAACAAAAAAGGTATTACTATGATCTGTTTTTTTTGTTTATTACCACTTTTTCTCAGCTCTCACCGAACCAATTTCTTTCAACTATACGTCAAAATATTACAAATTGTCGAAGATATTACACTCAAAAATTGAAAAATTTACCTCGTTTCCCATAAATAGGAGAAAATCCAAAAAAATTAAAAATATAAATTTGCTAATTTTTTTTTTTTTTTTTTTTTTTTTTTTGGGACAGGTAAGCCCCCAAAAGGTGATTCAAAATGACAACTTTTTACAAAAAATGTATTTTTTCAACTTAACTTTTGAAAGTGTTCCAGAAATACTAACACTTTTATATCTTAAATTAAAGCTAATGTAATATACTTTATTATGAAAAAAAAATTTTACCCCACTGTGCTGGGTTGCTTAAAATAATAAGGGGTCGCGGCACAGTGAGGACGGGACATAGTTGGGTCCAGTGATTAAAATCAATATCATAAAAAACGCTTCTATGCAAATTTGTAGATAGTGTTTAATTTTAAGAGATTGATAGATTATTTCAAAAGCAACTATAACTCTTATTCCCTTAATTTTATCTCGATTTATAATTATAATATATGAATACATAATAATTATAGTAATTAAAATTAGTATGAAATGGATTTTCAATAATATTGTAATTGTTACGAAGATATTATAAAAATAAAAGTGAGTTGTATATTCATATATTTTAAACGCGTATAAAAATTTAAAGGGATTGATGCAATACTTTTTAATAAAATAATTTTATTACCTATGAATAAATACACTAGACTCTACAAGGAACTTTCATCAGAAACAAAAATATACTTTTCTAAATCAACTTTTCGCGATATTTTCAAATGTGCAATTAAACTTTTTCTATTACTTCTAACTTTTAATATTATTACTTACTATTAAAAACAAAGGGGTTACATATAAAAAAAATAATTAAGAAAAAAAAAATTTTTTTTTAATTAATACTGATTTTGATTATTAATATGTTAAAAATAAGGAAAATGACATATTTAACCTATTTTTTTAATTGTTTAAAGTTGATTTTTGTGAATGTTTATAGTAAAAAAAATTAATTTATTTTACCACAACTTTTAGCTCAATTGGCAAGTTTGAAATTGACATCAATAAATAGAACATTTTATTAGAATTAAAAAAATTGTATCCTTAAGATTAATATGCAGTTAGGAAGTTTTATAAATACTATTAATAGAAAATTTATCAGAATAGCTCAATATTTATTTGCATTTTTATCGTAATAGATAACTTAAATAGAAGTAATAGTAATCATTTCCTAATAACTTTTGGTGTTTAAAAAGATTCTGCAATTGAAATATTCAGAACTTCATTCATTTTAATGAAATACTTTAACTAAATGAACCAATCAAAACAAAATTGTTAAAAAGATTTACTCAATTGAGCGTATTATAAAATTTGATTATAATTGTAAAAATCCATTGTTAATTCAGGAGAAACTAACAATCATTTTTTTTTAGAAATGATTTATATAGTAACATGTTAGCAAAAAATTTGTAATATTATAGTCTAGTTGTAGCACACACAAATAGAGTAAAAAAATTATTAAATTACAAAGTAAAATGATTTAATTTTGTATTTGAAACCTATCATATCCAATTATCATATCAAACTTGATTCGTTAATAAATATTTTGAAACATTAGAAATGAATGATTTTAATTGTCTGTATGGAGAACATGGGATAAGTAACTGTTTAATTGATAAATTAGAATTTTTTTTTCAATTTTTGAGGGTAATATCTTCAACTAGTTACTAGATACGAATTGTAGTCATTTGACATATTTTTCATCAAAATCGGTCCAGCAAGAGCTGAGATTGAGCACTAAGACACAAAAAAATTGTATCGAAGCTAAAAATTGGTGGATTATTCCAAAAGGAATATGATCTCCTATTTCCTTATCTATATGCTAATTACAAGTTTTATGATTTATAATTGTAATATATGATTAAATATTTATTATAGCAATTAAATATTGTATGAAATTGATATTTAATAATTTAATATTGTAATTTTTATGGAGAAATCATAAAAAATTATGAAGTAGTTCTTACTTTTACAGCAGATATATATAAAAGTTGAAGGTCTTGATACAATACTTAAAAAAAAAAAATTGTTTGTTATTTATTAATAAATTTACTGGACTAAATGAGGGAAATCTCCAAAACAATTACAATTTTAAAAATCACTAATTTTCGACATTTTTTCAATATTTTTTATTTAAACTGCCATAACTTTTTTCAAAATGACCATGTATAATACTATGTTTAAAAACAAAAAAAAATTAAAAACTCTTAAACTTTCTTGGCCTTGGTAACCTACAATAAATATCCAACTTATTTAATACTACAAATGTACCATCCTAAAATAAATAACTTAAGGTTAATTTAATCAAATCATATTACAATATGAAAACTACAAAACATTATACACAGATGCCTCAAAAGTACATATAGGTATATGTTTTGCTGCTATTGAACAAAACATAAACCACATATTTACTTTATCACCCAACTTATCCATTTACACTGTAGACATATGCATTGTATAAAGAAATCAAGATATCTATGAAATCACTTTAAAAAAATTCTATCATAATAAGTGATTCTGTCAGTATCCATTTTCATCTTTATTAATTCCTTTGATAACCAGCGTAAAAAATTTTTCTTGATAACTTCCATAAATAATTTATGGGCTATCATATCAGATTATTATTTCCACAGTAGCAACATTTAAAATCAAATTTAACAATATGTATTTAAATACATTTTTTTTCTTCCCTTAGAGAGAAATAACCTAAACTTTAATTATCTTTAATGTCAATCCATAATTTTAGTTTGATGATTTAAAAAGTTTGTTTTTATAAAAAATTTTATCAGATGATCTGGTCATCTGTTACAGTATCTTAATGCATGCATTACATAGTGTAACCAGAGTGCATATAAATCAGTATAACCTGTACCCACAACTATAAATACTAAATAACTCTAATTATGATTGAAGAAGTATTAATCAAATATCACTAAACTATTTGTAATGAGAATAATGTTTTTAAATTATTTTGTTAAATTTCTATTTTTGATGATTGAAGAAATTTCTAATACGAAAATTTCTTACTTGCAACACAATATAGATTATTTTTATTTATATTATATGAAATTTTAATGAAAAAAAAAAAAAAATTTTTAATTTTTCTATACATAATACAATTTAAATGTATTTTTGTTTTAATGTGGGTCAATTTTAATATTAAATTTACGTAAAGTAAAAACGGGCTGTTATGTTTTAAATAGTCAAAGGATCGAGTTCAGATATTTTTAATTTACTGAATTAAATAGGTAATATTTTTAAATATCTATAAATTGTTAGATAAATTTAACAAAATATAATGATGTTTATTTTTAATTATTATACTTGAAGTACAGATAATTATCTGTTTTAACTTTTCATAAGTTTACTATGTTAATGATTTTTTTAAATTGAAAAGAAAATTGTAAAGATTTACCCAGGCCAAGTTGGAAATATTTGCTGGTATTATATAAATTTAAATAAAAGTTTAAAATTATTAAAAATATGTAAATTTTTCTAATTATTGTAAATTGTTTAAAGCCTTTTTCACCGTGAAGATAAAACATAGTCCGAAATTTTTTTTTCGCATAATAAAGTAGATTACATTAACTTTAATTTAAGATATAAATAAAAGTGTCAGACTTTCCGGAACAGTTTCAAAATTTAAGTTGAAAAAGTAAATTTTTTGTGAAAAAGTTGTCATTTTAAATCCCCCCCTGTGGGCAGGTAAAGGGTCAGATATAAAAAAAATATATACCAAATGATAGGTAAAGACATCATGCATCTATAAAAAAAAATTTATATTGATCCATACATCTTTCAAAAAGTTATAGCATTATAAAGTTAAAAATATAAAAAAGAATTTTTTTACAAAAATCGTATTTTTTTTATAAACTTTGATGTCTGTTTTCACCATGAAGATAAAATAAAGTCCGAAATTTTTTTTTAGCATAATAAAGTATATTACATTAGCTTTAATTTAAGATATATATAAAAGTGTCAGACCTTCCGGAACACTTTCAAAATTTAAGTTGAAAAAGTTCTACTTTTTACATGCATTTTTTAGATTTGAACCCCCCTCGTATATAGGGAAATGGTCCGATTTAAAAAAACAGTATGTCAAATGAAAGATGTATATGAATACTACTCCTCATAAAAAAATTGTACTGATCCATACATTTTTCAAAAAGTTATAGCATAATAAAGTTAAAAATGTAAAATACAAAATCGAAAATTTTCACACAAAAATAGCATTCGGTAGCCATTTTCACCGTGAAGATAAAATAAAGTCCGAAATTTTTTTTTTGCATAATAAAGAACATTGCATTAGCTTCAATTTAAGATATATATAAAAGTGTCAGACTTTCTGGAACATTTTCAAAAGTTAAATTGAAAAAGTTAATTTTTTGTGAAAAAGTTGTCATTTTAAATCCCCTCTTGTGGGCAGGTTAAGGGTTAAATTTATGAAAAAAATATACCAAATGAAAGGTAATGATATTATGCATCTATATAAAAAAGAATTATATTGATATGTTTATTTTTGAAAAAGTTATGGCACTTTTAAGTAAAAAAAATTGAAAAAATTTCGAAAATTAGCGATTTTTAAATTCGTAATTTTTTTGGAGGTTTCCCCCATTTACGGGGAACGAGGGAATTTTTTTCAATTTTTGAGGGTAATGTCTTCGACTAGATACAATTTGTGATCTTTTGACGTATCATTGAAAGAAATCGGTTTGGTGATAGCTGAGAAAAAGTGGTAACAGACACAAAAAAAAAAAAAAACACATCTTAGTAAAACCAATACCTTCTCAGCTTCGCATCGAAGCTAAAATAAGTAGACAATTTATATTCATTTATATTGATTATTATATAGACAAAGAAACATGAATGTTAAACATTATTAGCGGACTATTTATTTCCTATCTGCAGCTATACTTCATCTGTCTAATATATTTGAATATTAAGATAAAATGAGATGGACTATTAAATTTTTACTATAGTCTGAAAAAGTTTTATACTTAATTTGTTTTTGAATATAATGTATTGATCCTTTTATTTATATACTTTGTACAACTATTGATTAAACAATATTTTAAAATATATTGAGGAACTTGAAACATTATTGAGATATACATTTAAGTACTTATATTAAAATTGGTTAATAAAAAAAATAAACATTTTTAAATTAAATTTTTCTTGTGTAAAATTCAATAAAAATTATTTCAATGTGTAACACTTCTCTAATGGTGTAATAATTTCTATTTAAAAATAATATTTATGTATTTTTAACCATATTGTTATAATAATAATGCATTAAAAATTTGTTAAAGAAAATTATTCATTTATTTAGTTGAAAAAGGGTCAAAATTACAAGAACAAATTATTGTTGGAACACCTGGAAAAGTGTTGGATTGGGCTACTAAGTACAGATTTTTTGATCCAAAAAAAATTAAAGTGTTTGTTCTGGATGAAGCTGATATCATGGTGGATACTCAAGGTCATCAGGATCAAAGTTTCCGAATAAGAAAGTAATGAAATTGTACCATTTTTTAGAAAAGTGTTATGTTAATAAAAAATTAATTATTAAATACTATGTGTAGATTGTTACCAGAAACTTGTCAAATGATGTTTTTTTCTGCAACTTATACAGAAGATGTTATGAGATTTGCTAATGCTATTGCACCTATGTCAGTTATTATTAGGCTTAAACGTGAAGAAGAAACTTTAGACAATATACGACAGTATTATGTTAATTGTAACAATAAAGAAGATAAATACAATGCATTGGTAAATATTTATGGTGGAGTTACTATTGGTCAAGCAATGATATTTTGTCAGGTAAATTAAAAATTATATTTATGGATTATAAAATTTTTATTAATAAACAATATAAAAAAATATAGAAAAACTATTCAATTTAGTTAATACCCATATAATATAGTTGAGCCAAGAACAGTAGAAACCTGTAAATGTTTAAATCTAATTGATGAAAATCACTTATTCAGTGGAACCTCGATTAATCGTGTTTGCGATTAACCGTGCTCACTCTTCCGAAAATTTAAAAATAGTTATGCATTATACATACAATAAATAATTATAATAAAATATTTTATATCATACATTATATACGATATCGACAAACATATTAATGACATTTTTGGCGATAACAATATGAAAATAAACAATATTGTAGATTATTATAAATTGTATTTATTGTATCACCTTCAGTTTAATTGTTTGCTATAGCCGTTCCGACGTAATCTAATTATGAAGTGTTAAACGAAAACGTATCGTTCTTTCTCTTGAGCAAAAAAGTGTTGAATATAAACCAAGCTGTAGATCGTGGTAAAAGTGTACAAAAACTTGCGGACGATTTCGGCGTGGGTCAACAGACAGTTCGTGATTTAATCAAATAAAAAAATGAAATTTTCAAGTTCATATCTTGTGCAGAATTATCAGCTACGACAAAAACTATGCTATGCTCTTTTTGAAGTTTCAAAATTTCATTATTATAAAAAGTCTCAATCAACCGTGGTTTTCATTTATCAGTGTGACCCACTCCCCACAATTACCCCGGATTATCGAGGTTCCACTGTATAATATATTTGATGCAACATAAACAAATATTTTAATATTGTAAAAAATAGGGTTGTAATTAAATTAAGTTATTGTCTAAATATGTTACAATATTGAACTAGCATAATGAATAAATATTAGAAGAAAGTATATTTTATTCATTGATTAATTTTATGCTATAATAATTTTGAAGAAAAATTTTTTTTTATCTTCCAGTAAATCACACAAGTTGTAATTTAATGTATGTTAACATTAGCAGTTATAGTTGAATAGTTGGAAAATTAATACTTTGGAACCCCAAGAAATTTTATAATATTACAAATTCAAAATTGTGTATTTAAAAAAATTAAAATAATTTACAAGGGCTGCATTAAATTTATAAGGGCTCTTTATATAATACTATCTTAAATAATATTATGATATTATGTGATTTACATCATAAAAATTATGTTTTTATCTATATATTTTCAGTAAGTTATATAAAACGAAATTTAATCACTATTAAAAATTATAATTTTTAAAATAAGTATTTGAGGATAATGTCTTCAACTAATTATAATTCAGGTTCTTTTAACATATGGATTGAAAAAATTGGCCTATCATTTTGAATTTAATACCTTTTAAGTTCCACATCAAAGCTAAAATAGTATAACCAGCACAAATTACTCGTTAGATTTCTACCAAGGAAGTGTCGTCTAGAGACCCAGCTGTGTTTTAAAGAGACTCCTTATGCTTTTACATATAATAATAAAAAGAGAAAAAGGTTCAATAATGACATTAATGTAATTATTAAAGATATAATTAAAACAATATGAAAACGTACAAAACAGGGATAAAATTTAAGTACAATAAAGTAATAAACAATGGAAAAGTATTTACTTTTAATAGAGTATCTTATTTGTTACAAACACATTCACTATTTTACATGGTATTATATTATTAACATCCATGTATATATTTTTGTAATGTTTTATTTTAATAAGAGAATAGAAAATTATTGGATTAGTGAAAATTTACTTTTTGTGTAATAACAGTTATGGTGGTCCACATTTGAAATTCAAAGTTAATTTTTATTATTATGTATATGTATATATTTTTTTCTTAATTTATCTGAATACGCACAAGATTAAACCAAAATTACAATAATAAAAAAATTAACTATTTAATTTTGATACATGAAGTGACTGAGTTCTTATCTGCAGAATTGGGTTTCATGACATCCTTTTTATTATTATTTTTCTTTAGCAATTTCCTCTCCTTGTGTGATTTCCATTTCAGTCAGCTTAGTCAAGTTTCTTTTCATTTGGCTTTTTTCTTTGACAAAAAGATTATAAACACTCCATTTGATTGAGCCAAATCAAATGATTAAACTTTTTTCCATCTTGTATAGGTTTTTATACTTTTAATTAGTGGTTAATTAGTTAATTTATCAATAGAACTATAAACATTGAAAAGAGAAGGGAAAAAAAACAATGATTGTAAGAAATTATTTATAATTTAAAGACGTCTTCTTTGATAAATTTTATAAATTGAGAAAGGCATAATAAAAAGTTAATCTGTATAGTTATATAAAAATTTGATTAATAGACTGTATTACAAAACCAAGCAAGGAAACGGGGAAAAAAGTGATTTTTCAAATTTTTTATATTATAGTAGAAAATGTATGCATTTATTTACGTAGATAACATTTTCATTTAATTAAAAATTTTCTAAGTATAGTTAAAATTATACTTCATAATTGATAATTTTAACCACATTCTTCAGACACAAAGTAAATTTATACTATAATAGAATTTAAGTGTCATGTAAAAAATTCAGTCAGATACTTGGGTTTTTGTGATAAGATTGTAATATACCAGGTAGATTGAATAACCATGCCTCACGTATAAACATTATAATTTTTTCTTTTCAGAAATTAATAGTAAAAAATATTAAGTCATATACCCTTTTACTTTTTTTTAAATAATAATAACTAAAATTTTTTAAATGGAAAAATATATGTTTAACTAGCTTAAAAATAAGAAAATGACTTGTCAATGTTGAGAGTAAATAACTTCCAAAATAAGAATTCAACATTTATTACCAGCTAGTCAATTTCTTAAATACTTAAGTTGTTACTATATAAAAGGGGAGAAAGGAAAGATAGGACCAATTTTTTCTAGAAAAATTGTGGGACTCAGGATACTATTAATTTTTAAAAAGAAAAAATATATTTTTTAAACTTTTAAATATATTGTTTGAGGCATAATTGATATTGTTCAGTATCTTAAACAGTGTGATTCGTGAAACATAAACCACTTGATTTCTCATCAAATAATATATATATATTTTATTTCATTACTATTGCTTTATACGGTTATTATTATTATTTTTTTTTTAATGAAAACATTAATTTGATAAATTAACAGGAATATATATATATTTTTAATTTATGCCATTTGGTTTTTTTTATAAAATTGTTTATTTGACATCATCAATGATTCACGAATCATTCTGTAAATCATTTACTTTTTTATTTTAATATATTCAATATCTTTAAAAATATATCTATATGTAGAAGATAGCCAAAATATACAGTTTGATATATAATAATCTCATATAATTTTTACTTTTTATTTTTAAGAATAATTAATTTAAGTAACTTAATATTATATTTCAAAAAATTTAAAAAAAAACATATTAAATAATTTCAATTTTGAATAAACTATCTTTAAAATTTAAACAAAGTAAAGTTTGCATTTTGTCTAGCAAAATAGTTTCTAATGATCTACATTTTTTTAAGTCGTTATATGAATTTTCTTCAAGATTATTATCTCTTAAATTAAGTATTTTAAGATTTGGCAAGTCTGGAAATCCTTTTAAATTAGTTAAATTGCAATTCATCAGTGATAACTCTGTGCATGATAAAAGATATTTTAGACATTGTAAATTGCTGTTGGATAAATTATTGTTGCTCAAATCAATTGTTTTACTACAAACAAACATATTAAGGTGATAAAAAGCTGTTAAATTATTATTACTTAAGTTGACATGATCAGTATTTGTATTGTTAGTTATCCAGTATTCTATACGATATCGACATTCTAAACTACAGTAGTAATTTTTCCTTAGTTTATCAATTTTTTTTAATAAATTTAAGTTGATTAAACATTTTTCAAAATAGTTTTGTGGTTTCAATGTATATAATAGTAATACATATGTAAGAAGAGCATATTTACTTTCTGGTTCCAATTTCAATAATTGATGTAAGCTTTCCATTTGTACATGTAAAACATTTTTTAGTTTTTCATTAATAAATAATGTAAAAATATCTTGGTGGCTTACCGTACCATTGGATGATTTATCTATAACTTGATAATTGTTATCAATTATTTTTATACTATGGTTATCAATTTTACTTGAATTTATAAACCATACATTTTTATTTGAATCGAAAGGTTTCCATGTATTGTTATCTATATCTTTAACTTTAAAATGGTTTGGCAAACTTCTATTAAGTATTAAATATACTTGATTGTTTAAATGATGTATTTTATATATAAATTTTGATGGTTCTAACTTACCAATTAACCATCGCTGATAGATCCATGCACTCTGGTCAGATGGATCAGTAAATGCTGCATTTTCTACTAATTTTAACTCTGAAATTTGTAATAATTCTTTATCTTGATCAGTAGTATTTAATAACTTGGATCTATAATGCCATGCAGAATAGTTGGAAAAATTAGAATCAATCATTTCCATTGTAAATTTTAATTCGTTTTCTATTGATACTTGGCATTTAGTTGCAACTATCTGTCTATAATCCCAACAATGAAAATTTCTCTCATCCATTTTTAGATATTTTGTACATAATATTAACTCATTATGCCAATTTGGATTAGAATATATATATTCTAGAATCCAGTATCTATGAAACCACACAGAATAAGATTTAGGATTAATAAGTAAACATTTTTCTGTTAGATATAGTTCTTCATTTAAAAGTTCCTTAGAAGGTTCCAAGTTAGTGAAGATTTCTTTTCTAAAATTCCATAATGTAACAATGTCGGGATTTGAACGTAATAGACTTTCAGATGATTTTAATGATTTATCATTATACTCCTTTGAAAAGCGAAGCTCAAATACTTCTTTCATACCATTTTGATATAGTTTTAATTTTTTTTCCTTTTCTCGATCTTCTTGTAATTTTTGAGCTGCTGTCATTTGTGTTTTTATTCGATTATGCATAATTATGATCAAGAAAAGTTAATTATTACGCAATTTTTTTTGTTAATTTTTTCTGTTGTACACTTTTAATTTAAATAACGAAATAAAATATTATTTTTTAAAGATAAGTTTGAAGACAAATTAGGAGAAAAGTATTTTTATGAAAATTATTTTTCTTATCAACTGCCACACAATACCTTTAGTTTATTGATAGTCATACCATCTTGATAACCAGTCTGGGCTATTTGTAATAACGTATACAAATATTTTTACAAATGTTTCTGACATAAAATCAGTGTAATTGGATCAAAATACAAATACTGAAATAATAACCGCAGTCTTTATCAATTAAGTTCAAGATTACTGAATGAAAATAAGTACTTTTATTGATGATGTCCAGTTAGCTTATATTTATGGCTTAATACATAAATAATGCTATCTAGTGTTCATATTCATTAACTAAAAATTTTGGATTTTTCTAATTTAAAACTTTATAGCATAAATTATCTTAAAAATGTATTCTTATATATTTTTTGAAACTTAGATAATTATATATATTTATTATTATAAAATAATAATTTGGAATTAAATTTGAATTATCTCACTCTATATACTATTTTACTAAGCCTCTTTAAATATGAGCCACCTGATAAAAATACTAAATTACTAATTATTATATTAATTTATTGATATAAAGATCATGCCATGCCTCTTATCATGCTAAATAACTGTAAATTAGTTCTCAGATAAAGTACCCTATTTCTTCCTATAAGTAATTCAACTGAACTAAATGCATTAAATAAAAGTGTTAATGGTCCAATAATGTTAAATATGAGTCATGTGACTTCTTTAATACTTCTTTAAATGAATCCATTACTTTTTGAATATTTTGGACCTGATGTTATGTGTTGAAATCTATAATTCTTAGCAAATACAGGAAACAAATGTGAACATTTATTTAATACATGAAATTAGGTATCATAATATACTTCTTACAGTTTCTAGACATCCATTTTCTGCTTAAATAGACCTAGTATATTCTATAATATAAGATATAGAAGGAAACCCAACCTATAAGTGATAAATCAATGATAATCAATAATAATACTACAAATGTTTTTCTGTAATGATACTTTTGTATTCATATTTCATAAAATTTAGATTTAATATCTTTTTTTTCGTTATTAAAAAAATATCGAATAACAATATTGAAACAAAAAAATACTTCAATCGAAAGAAAGTATCAATACTTTACTTACAGCAACATTCATATCAGTATGTCAAAATATCTCAAATTATACATAATTAAATACTTGACCCTCAAAAGTTAAAAAATTATCCTAAATATTTTTTATCAAAGAAAATAGCACAAAAAATTACAGTAATTAATATTAGTTGATTTAGACCTTTATTTTATTTTTTACCTTTTCTTTTTAAATCATTTAATAAAAACAAATATTTTATGACTTATACATTAGATATTTATCTTTTTATTGATAAACTTTTTCTTTATATACTTTGATTTTAAACATGATAACATCAGCATGAAGTATACATTGTTACATATTATCATTAATAATAGTCGATGTAATTTAATGTAATTTTTGATCATCAAAAACGTAAGAATTGAAAGGTTCTAAGACTTTTCTTAAAATCAATTATGAGAAACAAAAAAGTAAATATTAACATTAAGTTTTTTACCCTAGAAAAAAATAAGTAGTATGGGTCAGGCATGTTTTTTAATTTTAATTAATACAATTGATTAAAATTATTCATTTTAATGTGTCTTCACTATTTAAATATTTATTAATTTAGACTAAAAAGATGGCTATGTGGTTGGTTAATCAAATGAGTGAACAAGGGCATGCTGTGGCATTACTATCTGGCGAATTGACTGTACAACAAAGAATAGATGTATTAGATCGTTTCCGTGAAGGCAAAGAAAAAGTTCTTATTACAACTAATGTTTTATCAAGAGGTATTTTCAATTAAAATCCTTTAGTTATTATTTATACCATTATACATATTATTTCATGTATATATTTTTTTAGGTATTGACATCGAACAAGTGACAATTGTAATTAACTTTGATTTGCCTATAACTGTTAATCGAGAGCCTGATTATGATACCTATTTACATCGAATTGGGCGAACAGGACGTTTTGGAAAAAAAGGAATTGCTATTAATCTTGTTAGTGGTGATGGAGATCATAATATACTAAAGCAAATAGAAAATCATTTTTGTATAAAAATTAATAATTTGAATACGGATAATGCTGATGATATGGAAAAACTCGGGGCTGAAGATTAATTTTGATTTTTAATTCTCATTTGTATTAATATAATTGTGTAATTATTGACTTAAAATAAAACTAATTCAATTTATTTAAATTTAAATATTTTAAAAGTTTTAAACATTTTTAAATAAATTTCTACTCTAAAATATCAAATGTTTCTATATTAAAATTTAGCATACTAGAATGTCTATTTAATTTTATGAATATTTTCCAAAAGTAATAATGCTAATTTTAACAATTAATTAGGAGAAAAAAATCAAATTATAAATTTCAGTGTTTTCTTACACAGATTGACATTTTTGATGGGCATAAAACAAACTTAATCAAATTGATTGGGAATTTCTCAACCTATGACAAATCATCCTTCTCATTAAAAATGAAAAAAAATCTCAAACATTTATTTTTCACACTTATAAATTTAATTATTCAACATAATAAGTTTCATATTATTTCCTGGCTTATGTATTTTGGCAAAACATATAGTTTAGGTATTTGAGGATTTAAATTTTAATAAAAACCTGAATTTTTTTCTATTTATTAATTTTGAACTATTAATAACATTTGTGTTGAATATAAATGTCCCAATTTAAAATTTAGCTAGATACTTAGTAAGTATATTTTTATCTATTAAAAAATTCGATAGCTCTTCAGTTAAAAATAATATTGACTTGGTTCAAAAATTATCTGGTCATACTATTCAAAATAATGACAATATAATTTCTTTTGACGTAATAGGCTTATTTTCGAGTATTCCGATAAGTATAATAATTGATTTTCTTAAAGACTATCTAAAGGAACAAAACCATAAAACAAGATAAAATAAATGAGTTTATTAATTTAGCAAAGTCATTATGAGTCAAAATGTTTTCAGTTTCAAAATAAATTTTATGAGTAAACTGAGGGCACAGCATTGAAAAATCCGCTATCGCCATTTTTAGCAGAACTTTTCATAAGTAGGTTCAAAATAAATTTAAAAAAGTGAAAAAAATGTCGAAATTTATCGATTTTAAAAATCGTAATTTTTGGAGAGTTGCCATCATTTACGGGGAACGAGGGAAAAATTTTGAATTTTTGAGTTTAATGACTTCAACTAGATACGATTTGTGATTTTTTGACGTATCATTGAGAAAAATCAGTCCAGTGAGACCTGATAAAAAGAAGCGACAGAGACACACACAAAAAAAAAACGGTAGCACAATGGGGTCGAGGCACAGTGTAGACGAGGCATAGATGGGACAAGTATAGATGATATCTGACAGTGATTAAAATCACTATCATAAGAAACGCTTCGATGCAAATCTGTAGATAGTGTTTCATTTAGAGTAATTGGTGGATTATTCCAAAAGCAACATCAACTCTTATTTCTATAATTATATCCTGATTAGCAGTTCTTTGATTTTAAAATATAATATATGAATAAATACTAATTATAGTTTTTAAATTCAGTATGAAATTGTGAGGCCAGCTATGATGTATGGTTCATAGTGTTGGGCGGTTGATAAGAAAGTAGAGCAGAGAATAAGTGTAGCAGAGATGAGAATGCTTAGTTGGATGAGTGGAGTGACTAGAGAAGATAGGATAAGGAACGAGCATATAAGAGGAAGTATAGGTGTTGCGGCAATCGTGGATAAGATGACAGAAAATAGACTTAGATTGTTTAGTCATGTTATGAGGAGAGAAGAATCGGAAGCTGTAAGAACAGTTATAGAAATGAATGTTGAAGGAAGAAGAGATAGAGGAAGACCAAAAAAGAGATGGAGGGATGCTATTGAATGCGATTTGAGGACAGCTGATGTGAGCGTAGAAGATGTGGGAGATCGTGNGCGCGTAGAAGATGTGGGATATCGTGTCAAGTGGAAGCTTAGGATAAGAGTGGCCGACCCCAAGTAGTTGGGATTAAGGCAAAGAAAAAGAAAAAGATTACCAGAAATTCCGGTGGCAATTGACATAATATGATTGTTATTTCGGAATGTACAATTNATTATGATTGTTGTTTGGGAATGTACAATTTAGCGTTTAGTTGGGTTTAAACAATACAGCGTCAAATCAATTACCTACTCTATCGCTTGTATATTAATATACACTACACTTTAATGATACAATAAATAAATAAACTCACACATACACACATATACATTTATAACATTGTGTCTAAAGTAAGTATAACATGATAAAAAATAACCGTAAAATGAAAAAAATTGGAAAATAAATTTTAGTACTCATATTAAATGTAAGGTAACTCGAAAAATATTTGTTAAAATTAAAAATATAAGATACCTAATTTGTTTAAAATTGTCTTAGAACAACTTTTGTAGGAAACTTTTTTTGTAAGTTAAATATTTTTTGAGAAAATTAAAAAAGCTGATATTTTTGAACTTTTGAGAGGCTGTAAATAAAAAAGCTCAAGGCCAATCGATGAGGACTTTTAGTCATTATACATATCTTAATTTAACTTTAAAAAAAAAAAAAATTTGGTTGGGAATTTTTTCCGCCATTTTTCCTTTGTTGACTGGCCTAACATTATTCTAATAGTAAATTTTTGTCCTAATTGCCAAATTCAATAATTCNAACATTATTCTAATAGTAAATTTTTGTCCTAATTGCCAAATTCAATAATTCATAGACCTATTTTCGCTTATAAATAATTATATGAATGTAATATTGATTTTATGAAATAAATAGCTATATATTGATAATCAAAATTGTTATTCAAATGAACAATATAGTAGGATATTTGAAATAATCTAACTGTATTAACACATAAATTAATACGCAATTAAAAACCATTATTATAAGAATCCATTATTATGGTGTTCTGAAAGAAAAAAATATATACCCACGATTATACGAAATTGTAAAAAAGAGACTCTGCATAGTAGCAACTGATAGAAGAAGTAGGTTAGAAACAAAAAAAATTTCTCAGATTTTGTTTTTAAATTATAATATGTAAAGAGCTGTATAACAAAATTTTAAATGTAATTCTTAAAAAAGAACAGTATTGATGTTATTTAAAATTATATAAGAATTTAATCTTTGGAGTTAAATTAACAATTTATAAATTAAATAAGCAGTCAAAAGTGAACTCAAATCAAGTTAAAAGGTAAGTAATACAAGGTTATGGAAAAACTAAGATTTTCGTGTGGTTTTGAGAATTGAGTAGCAGATAATAAATTAGAATAAAAATTGAGTGAAGGTGAGGATACTTAAATTAATTGACAAGAGGTGATATATAAGGAATGAATACTATATATTTAGAATATATAAGAGATATTATTTCTGAGGATCAAAAAAAAGATAATATGATAAAGAATAGACTAAGATGGTTTGGAATAAAATAGTTTTATATACATATAAATATAATTTCAGGATATTGAGATGAATGGGTGATTAATACAAGAGTGGCTATCTCAAAATAGTCAGAAAATAGTTTTAAAATATTTAGTATTTTTTACAACTTAAATTAATATTGAAATAGAATTGGACCAAATGCATCAATATTACAACTCGAAGTAATCAATATCAAACAATGTACATTAACTAGTCACAGTAAGTATTTAACAAAAAGTATCAAACAGAGAGTGACATTTGCTTATAAAAACTAAACACCAAAATTAAAAAAAACCCAGCACAGTGGGGTCGCGGCATAGTGGGGATGTTGCATAGTTGGGTCCAGTATAGATTTAATCTGACAGTGATTAAAATCACTATCATAAGAAACGCTTCGATGCAAATCAGTAGATAGTGTTTAATTCTAAGAAATTGGTGGATAATTACAAAAGCTACATTATCTGCTAGTTTCTTATTAATACCCTGATTAAGATAAAGTATGTCGAATGAAAAAGGGATTATTAAAAAATATTATTTCTCATAAAAAAATTGTGTTGATTCGTACACTTTTCAATGAGTTATAGCATTATAAAGTTAAAAATGTAACCAACCCAACCCAACATCAACTCCTATTTCCTTAATTATATCCAGATTAGTAATTATTTTAATTATATATTATATAATTTTTATAATTAATTATTTTCAAATTATTATTGATTTTTAATATGTTAAAAGTAATCATTTTGAACCTACTTCTTTTTGTTCTTTAAAGTGAAAGTTTTAATAAAAAAAAAATGAATTTATTACCATAACTTTTAACTCAACTTGCAAGTTTGAAATAAATATTATTAAATAGAAAAAAAT